TGGTGTTGGGAAATGGACAGCTACATGCATAAGAATGGAACTGTACCAACTGTACCACTATACACCATACCAAAAAAATTAACTCAAAATGGATTGAAGACTTGAACGTAAGACCTGAAACCATAAAATTCCTAGAAGAAAACATGTGGTAAACTCCTTGACATCAGTCTTGGCTATGCTTTTTCAGATCTGACACTGAAAGCAAAGACAACCAAAGCAAAAATAAATCAGTGGGAATACATCAAGCTAAAAAGGTTCTGCAAAGCAAAAGAAACCATCAACAAAATGAAAAGCCAACCTACTTAATGGGGAAAATATTTTTAAGTAATATATCTGATAAGGGCTTAATATCCAAAAAATATGAAGAACCCAGACAACTCAATAGCAAAATAAAATCCAATTTAAAAAATGGGCAGAGGAACTGAATATAGAAATTTTTCAAAGAAGACATACAGATGACCAACAGGTTCCTAAAAAGGTGCTCGAATTCACTAATCATCAGGAAAATGCAAAAACCACAATGAGATATTACTTCATACCTGTTAGAATGGCTGCCATCAAAAGGCAAGAAATAACAAGTGTTGGTGAGGATGTGGAGAAATAATAAGTGTTGTGTACCTTTGGTGGGAATGTAAGTTGGTGTAGCCACTATGGAAAACAGTATGGAGGTCTCTCAAAAATTAAGAATAGGACTACCATATGATTAAAAAGCAATTTCACCTCTGGGTGTTTATGAGAAGAAAATGAAACCGCTAACTTGAAAAGATATATGCACTCCCATAATCACCGCAGCACTATTTATAATAGCCAAGATATGAAAACACCCTAATTATCCATCAATTGATGAATGAATAAAGAAGATATGGTATGTATATGTGTGTGTGTGTGTGTGTGTGTGTGTGTGTGTGTGTGTGTGTATATATGTATATATAATCTTTTTCAGCCATAAAAAGTAATGAAATCTCAATTGCAACAACAGGGATGGATCTTGAGGGCACTGTGCTAAGTGAAATAAGTCAGACAGATAAAAACAGATACCACATGATTTTACTTATATGTGGAATCTAAAAAACAAACTGAGTTCATAGATACAGAGAACAGATTGGTGGTTGCTAGAGGCAGAGGGTGGAGGGTGGGCAAAATGGTTGAAGGGGGGTGGGTGTCAAAAGGTACATGCTTCCAGTTATAAAATAAGTCATGGAGATGTACTGTACTGTGTGGTGACTATAGTTAATAATACTGTATTGCATAATTCAAAGTTGCTAAGAGAGTACATCTTAAAAGTTATCACAAGAAATAAAAATCTGTAACTATGTATGGTGACAGATGTTACCTAGACTTATTGTGGTGATTGTTTCACAATATAAACAAATATTGAGTCATTTTGTTGTTACTTGAAACTAATATAATGATATATGTCAATTATACCTCAATAATTTTTTAAATGATTATTTTACAAGAGGGATAGAGGATAACAGGTGTGATTAGAAGCTAAGGAAAAGAGCTGCTATTTTAGAAAAATAAATTCTTTGAAGAAAATATTAGAGGTTGTTGTTTGTTTTTTTAAAAAGTGGTTTTTATGCTCAATGACCCTCTAACAACTATCAGTAAATTTTTCATGATCCTAATCCAGATCCTTATAATTGCATTAAAATCTGTTTATAGGATCATGGAACAAACTTTACAAGTCAGCTCATCCTATCTCCTCACATAAAATAAACTGAACCTCAGAGAAGGTGTTATGTTGTCTGTAATTTACTTGTATTAAACATTATAGTATGTTATATAATATAAAATTATGTATGTTAAGCATATATATTAAAATATTTCAGGCCAGAAAGTTTCATATACGTGTGTGTTAACTAGTTTTAGTGTAAACCTTGGAGGCTGTTAGTTAATATTTAAAGTACCCCAATAAGAAATATACACTCTAGGAGTAGTTTGTTAGTATCTGAGAAATTCTAATCAATAGTCCATATTCCAGTGGCAGCTACAAGAACTTCAGTCATCTTTGTCTCCAGTCAACACTAGAAGGCTGTTAAATGTAGTTAGATGTTAGATGTTAGATATGGTTTTTCATGGGTGAAACGAGTGGCGTCAAGATACATGATTTGGCTGGAAGTATTATATTGTACCGGCATCTCCACCCTTGCCTGACCAAGAGATGAGAATCTAGTGAGCTCAGCAACTAGGTTCTTCAGAGCGATGTTATGGGCTTAGGATCTACTCAGTCTTTTTCTCCCCATTTAGTGGAGGATCCTGCTACCTGATTCCAACTAGCAAGTGAGTTACACATATTCTAACTAGAGTCCTGCTGCTAGAATATTATTTACCTAAAGTAAACCTTTCATGCAAAATGTTTGGCAAGGTATCTAAAAAGATCAAGGGCTGGGACTTCATTGGGCTCACAAGTTGTATGACTGGTTTTGCCAGCTTGTTCACAAATATTGGAGCATGTGGCAGATTTCAGTGTGGGACTTGCTTTCACTGTAACACACCACTTGGTAGTAAGGTTTGGGGAAGGAATATGTGACCCCTCTCTCACTGTTGGAGACTGCTGGTGCCTGCCCCTCACCCTGGAAATAACAACCACCACATAAAAACCCACTCAATAATGAATAAGTAAATGTTTATTAACATAATTAACAAGTAAGCAAATCGGCTTCGGTCAATTGCAACAGAAGATAAGTTTCCTAAGGTCACATAACAAATTGATTCTTGCCACCATTAAATGCAAAACATCATTAATAAAGGGAAGCCAACCGATGTTGAGTCGGCAGACAATGCAATGTTTTAGGAAACTAGCTTACTGCAGCCTGGAGAATGGATTGGGAAGAGAAACACTGGAGACAGGAACTCTGGTGAGGAGGTCGTTGCTACAGCCCAGGTGAGGCAAGAGTCAGAGATGCCACATGGCGCAACAGAACAAGCCGGGGCGCTGGCATCAGAGAGATCCACTTACCAGCCACGTAACTGTGGGGAAGTCACTTCTCTCTTCTCAGGTTACATTTTCCCCAGACAAAATAATGATTGAATGAGATGGTAGCTCACTGATTGGCATGCAGTAGGCACTAAATAAGTTGCTAATTCCCTTCACCATCATTAAACCGTAAGAGGGAATGATGGAGTGAATGCCGAAAGACTAGTCTAAGCCTAAGCAAGGGCTTAAGCTCTTCTTGTCACCAAACATGAGAAGCAACCTTTGGGCTACAATTTGCTAGAATTTTCTTGCTCTTCTTGCCTGACAAGATCATATCAAATCAACAAACTTTTGCTAAGCAGAGCACTTAGCTCTATTCAAAGAACTGAGAATATAAAGAAATTAAGATGTCAAGGAGCTTCCAGTCTTAATATTCTTTTTCTATCTTAAGACTTTAGTTTTCCCCCTCTGAGCTGCCTCTAGCTTTCCCAGTACATGACATCAGATTCAGCTATTGTTTTTGAGAAGGAATTGATATGCCAGGCACTAGATTAGACCCTTCTTATACATTATTTAATCAACATCAAACCTACAAAGTTGATACTATTTTAATCCCTATTTTTATAGATGGAGACTAAGACCAAGAGAAGGAAAAAGGGTTTGTTATTCAGGATCACATAGCTAAATAATAGTTTAGATAGGATCCAAATCTAGTCTCTCTAACTCCAAGTTCAGTGCTCTTTCCACTGTTCCAGGATATTTTCTCTATTTAAAGACATGTGACCTTGTTATCTTATTAAAAGATATTACTCTGTTAGAAATGCCAAGTTTTTAGGAGGCTGTTAGATGTGTTTCCAACATAAGGATATGTATTTTATAAATAAGGCCAGATGCTCCCAGTTTGAAGATTGGAAGATCTTCACTAGGGAAACAGAACATGCCAGGAGAAAAGCCTATGGACTCAAAACCACAGTGAGATCTCACCTCACACCTGTTAGAATGGCTGTCATAAAAAAGATGAGAGATAACGTGTTTGCAAGGATATAGTAGAAAAGGGAAGGAACCCTGTGCACTGTTGGTGGGAATGTAAATTGGTTTAGCCACTGTGGAAAAGAGTGTGGAGTTTCCTCAAAAAAATTTCAAAATAGAACAACCATATGATCCAGAAATTCCACTTCTGGGTACATATCTGAAGAAAATGAAAATACTACTTCAAAAAGATATGTATATGCAGAATGGAATACTATTTAGCCATAAAAAGACTGAAATCTTGCCATTTGCAACAACGTGGATGTTGAGGATATTATGCTAATACCTCATGATACATTGAGGGTATTGGGCTAAGTGAAATAAATCAGGAAAGACAAATACTGTGGTGTTGGAATATATTATTTTTTCCCAAATGGATAGCCAGTTGTCCCAACAACATTTGTTATAGGTATTATTTTCCTCTCTAATTTAAAATGCCACATTTTTCATGTACTAAATTCTAACAGATAGATTTAAAATAAAGTGTCTCATATGTCTTTATTATCTTCTTTTATATCTTAGAGTAAAACTTCATAATTTTATTCATATAGGACTTTCATGTTTCTTGTTAAGTTTATTTCTTGCTTCTTGATATAGATTTTTCAGCAATTGTGAATTGATTCCTTTCCATGACATAGTCTAATAAGTTATCACTGGTCTGTAGGAAAGCTATTGATTTCTGTATGGTAATTTTATATATAACCAATCTATTAACTGTCTTATTTATTCTAACAATTTTTCAATTGGTTCACTTAGATTTTCTAGGCAGCATCTTTCCACTTCAGGTAATGCTTGTATTGTGTCTTTTTTCCAAAATTTATACATCATCTCTTTTTCTTGTCTCTCAGCAATAGTTAAATACTCCAATAGGATATTGACTAATAGAAGTGATAATTGGCATGCTTTTCTTGTTGTTGTTTTTTATTTTAGTGGGGTTTGTAGTTTGCCATTTTTATTGTAATAAGTAATGTGATGGATAGGCTCTCAATTACCAGAAGCATGAATGTGTTATCTAAACAAATTGTTTACTTAGAGTTGTTTCATTCAACAGACAGCAAGACATCACAGAAGAGATTTCCTGCAGCTGACCTCTTTGGTGCCATAGATATGACCTGACCAGGGGACCAAGGTGTTAGCAGTTTATATACGGTGAGTTTCTTGGAAACTAAGTAGCCACCCAAATACTTTCTCAGTAACTCTTTATACTCCTTCCTTGCATGGGTAGCACAGCTTGTACATATTACAGTAACATGTTCACTGTAACAGGATACATCTGTATTTAATATAAAGTAGTATTTAATTTAACAGAACACATCTGTATATAATATTTATGTACTTATTTAGCTCTGGATGATTGCCTTTATGGGAGTCATAGTGTGGGCATTCCTGATGGGGAACCTCCACTACGAGTACAATGTTTGCCTTTTGTTTCTGGTAGATGTTTTTATCACATTATGGAAAGAAGATGATGCTGCTGATACTGATGATAGCAAAAGTTATTATATGTTTACTTTGTGCTAGTTACTGTTGAAAGTACTTTATATGTAACTCATTTAGTTATATTTATTAACTCATTTAGGAAATTTTCTTCTATTTGCAGCTTACTAATAGTTGTGTTTGTGTGTGTGTGTGTGTGTGTGTCTGTGTTAACAAGAGTGAGTGTGGGATTTTAGTGAATGCTTTTTAAGCATCTTTTGGGATAGTTGCATGGTTTTTCTCCTTTATTCTGCTACTGTAGGGAATGATATGAGTAAGTCTCCTACTGTTGAATCAGAGCCTCATGGGTGCCTCTAATCCATCAGTGTCATCACTTTTCACTAATTATCTCACCCTCCTCATGTTCTCATTTTTTCTTTCCAAGTCTAGATTCCATTGTACATCATCATAATCACCATATTGTAAATATTCTTAATTCTCTTGTCACTTTCTCTTCATTATGCTCCCTGACAAAATTCCAAATCCTTCTACGCCCAATTAACTGAGTGGGCCATGTCTGCACCTTAGCAGCTGGACATGGCTGGAGAGAATCACACAACTGTTCTCTCTTAACTGCAGATTTGGACTACACACCTTAAATGAGCACTCGATACTGCCCAGCAATCCTGCTTTACTCCCCTAGTAGTTTTGGTTTCCCACTGTCTAATATGACCCTTTCTCTTCCTTTCAAACCCCCGGCATACTCCCCTGCAACACTTCATTTTCATATGACTTCAATTTATAATTCATTGAGAAAATAGAGGCATTCAGATTCACCTTCCTCACACCTTATCTACTAACTTCTCTGATCTGCCTCAGGATCTATATTCTCTGCTTTTTCACATAGGTCTGCACAGTATCCCACATCCATCCACCTTCCCCAAGGATCAAATTTCTTCTCTCTGCTGCACCATCAATTTCTCCTTCTCTCCTGGGTCATTTCCATCACCAAACACACATGCCCGAGTATTTCTCATCTTAAAACACACATGCCCACAAGCAAAACCCTCCCTTGACACCGTATCTCTCTCTTCAGCTACCATTCCACTTACTCCTACTCACAGCAAAACTTACGGAAAGGTTGCCTACATTGGCTTTCTCTGCTTCTTAACCTGCCACCATCTCGGCGTGCTCCAATCAGCCTTTTAACCGCTTCACTCCCCTGAAACTGCTCTTGTCAAAGCTACCATTGACCTCTAGCTTGCCATTTCTCTCTTCTCATTGTATTTGACCTCTAAGAAGCTTTCAACACGGCTAACCACTTCCTTCTTGAAATATTTTCTTTTGTTAGCTTCAGTAATATACCACTCTCCTGGTTTTCTTCCATTTCATTGACTGATGCTACTCAGTCTCCTTTGCTGGCTTCTTGTCAAGCCAACTTCCAAATTTTGGAGTAACTCAGGACTCCATTCTCTACCCTCTTGTCTTCTCACTCCTTTGGCCATCTTATCTACTTCCACTGGTTCTGAACACCTGATGGCTGACAAAGACCGTCTCCTTGACCAAACTTATAAAAAATATAAAATACTCAATTTTGAAAAGGGCAGAGGATTTTTTTTTTTTAATATATCTTTATTGATTTCAGAGAGAGGAAAGGAGAGGGAGAGAGGGAGATGGAAACATCAGTGATGAGAGAGAGTCATTGATCAGCTGCCTCCTGCACGTCCCCGATTGGGGATTGAGCCCACAACCCAGGCATGTGCCCTGACTGGGAATCGAACCGCAATCTCCTGGATCCTAGGTCTATGCTCAAGCACTGAGCCATGCCCAGCCGGGCAGGGCAGAGGATTTGAATTGCCGTTTCACCAAAGATATATAAATGGCCAATAAGCACATAAATAGACGCTCAACCTCATTAGCCCTTAGGGAAATGCAAACCAAATTCACAGTGAGATACCACTTCATACCCATGAAGATAGCTACAGTAAATTTTAAAATAATAAGTGTTGGAGAAATTAGAACCCTCATGCATCGCTGATGGGAATATAGTGGAACCTTGGTTCTCGAACTTAATGCGTTCCCGAAGGCTGTTGGAGAAGCAATTTGTTTGAAAACCAAATCATTTTTCCCATTAGAAATAATGTAAGTTGAATTAATCTGTTCCAGAGCCCCAAGTGATTCCCTGTTTCAACTGTTCTTGTATATAGTACATGTCTCATGTACTGTTTAATCTAGAAACAAACACTTTGAAAACAAAACGACAGGAAATGTAAATGAAAATTTAACAAAAAAGAACTGAAATGTACAATAAAAAAAAAAGAAAATTTATGTACACACTAGAACTGAGCTTTAATGTTGAGATCTTTTGATGACTGATCATGGAGAGAAGGGAGGGAGGGATGCTATCGTTTGGAAGGAGAGTCAGGCAGCTGGTCTTCCAGCTTCTTTCTCTCTTTTGTCTCTTTGCTCCACTAGAACTTGCTTCAGGCTCACTGGGCCTCTGTCTCACTAAAGACCTATCCAAGGATGACGGCTCTTGCCTGCGGTTTAACACGTGCCTGAAGTGAAACACTGCACTGCCATTGAACAGGTTTATTGTACAGATTGCTACTAGTTTGTCAAGGTGATATTTCTCAATAAATACTCACAACATCATTTCCTGAGATGTTAACAACCCAAGGTTTAGGGGTAAACCGACTTATACTCATACATTCTCTCCTTTGTTGCCTCAGAGACACGTGACTGATCACACATTGGCATGAAAGGGTTATTTGTTCCACAACCAAGACATTGTTTCCGTGAACAACTTGGTCGAGGACTGATTTGTTCAAGATGGGAGGCGTTCGAGAATCGAGGTTTGACTGTATAAAGTAGTGTAACTATTGTGAAAACAGTTCCTCAAAAAGTTAAACATAGGGGGACCCCGGTCGCATGGTCTCCGGCCTAAGATGGGTTGAATCTCCTAGTTATCATAGTTGATACCAACCCAATTTGGTGGGGGAAGTAAGTGTTAAAGGAATCCCAGTTTACTTTATCAAAATGCACAGATGCAGTGATGGTGCTGGGAAATTCTCACTTATTCATGATTCGTTCCAAAAAGTTAAACATAGAGTTAGCGTATAACCCAGCAAATCTACTCCTAGGTATAAACCCAAAAGAACTGAAAACAGACGGACACAAAAACTTGAACATGAATGTTCATAACATCAATGTTATAGCCAAAAAATGGTAGCAACCCAACGTCCATCAACTGATGAATGGGTAAACAAAATATGGTATATACATACAATGGACTATGATTCAGCTATAAAAGCAATAAAATATCAAAACATACTACAACGTGGATGAACCTTGAAGACATTATGCTAAGTGAGAGAAAATACCTGTTATAAAAGACCACATATTATATGATTCCATTTATGTGAAATGTCCAGAATAGGCAAATCTGGAGATGGAAAGTAAATTAGTGGTTACCAGGGAGTGGGCGCAAGAAGGAATGGGGAATGACGACTAATGGGGGTACAGGGTTTCTTTATGGAATGATAAAAATATTCTGGAATTAGATAGTGGTGGTGATTGTACGACTTTGTGGATACACTAAAAACCACTGAATTTTACACTTTAAAATGGTGTATTTTATGATATGTGAATTACATCTCAATTAAAAAGTGCAGAAGAGCAAAGCTGGTGATGGAGTAGGAGCAGGTGGACAGAAGTTCCATTTGGATGCCAGGTGGTGTCTTGGCAAGCTGGTCTAGTTTAGTTGTGTTCAAGGCAAGTCCCTGTCCTCCTCAGCCAGAGCGGCTCCATTTCAGCTCCCACTTAATATTTTTGTTGCAATAAGGGGTTCCCCAGCTAAAGAAGGCTGAAAGCCCTGGCCCAATTGATTAACTGCAAAGAAGCTCCTCCTCTACTTCTAAGCTCCAGAAGTGTGGAAAGTTGGTATAAGGAGAGGCTGTGGAGTCAGAACATCGACGGACCAGCGCCCCAGACAAGCACTGGAGTGTCACAAGCAGTGTGGGTGGCTGGAGCCCTGCCTTCTGGCACAGTGTCCACTAGTGAGGCTTCTTTTGGCTCCATCTGGGGAACATTGACACATTCGAAAAGTTCAGTTCCATTCATAAACCTTCACTGAGCATGTTCTGGCTCTCACTCCCAGATGGGTGAGCCAAGTCCTTGTCCCCAGGTGGCTCCGGCAAAGGATGTGTAAACATGCTCAGTCCTTGACAGCTCTGCTCCCCTCTCTAGTACTGAGCTGAGACCTTGAGCTCACTGTCTCTCAAGGGACAGCAAGAGCAGAGTGAGCAGCTTTTGGCTGCGGGAAAGGAGGGAAGGGAAGAGAATTAGTAACTATTGGGCACTTACTCTATGCTAGAGACAAAGGAACATGCACATATATGATTTAACTTCCTCCTCAAGACATCCTTGAACAGTAGTAGGTGAAGGGACTCGTCCCAGGTACTTAAAGCTAGTATATTGTGGAAGTGGGATTTGAACTCGGGACCATTGGAGTCTAAAATCTGTGCTCTGAAGAAGCTGGACGTTCACCTAGGCTGGATCACTTCACCTCCACAGGACCGTTTCTAGTTCCCACTGTTTATACAACTTGCTCATTCATTCATTTATCCATTCCATTAGTTTCCCTAAGTAGGCATTTGGTGCCATGTGATATGGTAGGCAACAGAGACACAAGCCTGAATACCTGGACAAGGCATAAGCCCTGTCTTCAAGGATTTATAATGTTGTATGAGCCAGGCCTGGGGCTGAGACATAAGACCAGGAGCTGAGTTAATTACTCCACCAAGGGAGGCCCTGTCAGGGTGGTTCAGCCCGATGACAAGTGGTTTTTATAGGAGACTGAAAACTCAAGGTTTGGTGCAATGGGCCAAATGTGTTGTCAATTCTCTACCCACCCCCACCCCCCTGTCCTGTAGATGTTAGTCAATGAGCCACCACCATCAGAGAGAGCCAAAGGGGAAGTGGTATTCTGGGGCACTGCTTCTTCTGGCCCCAGCAGGAAATGGAGGGAGGGCTTGCCGAACAGGCTGAGGTTTAGGGGAGTTTATTGACTCTAGAACTTTGGTGTGGGAGGGCTCAGTCAGAAGGGTCTTCAGGAAGGGGACAGTGGGTGCCTGAGTGGGAGTGAGTTCTGGAATGAAAATGTAGATGATCAGAGGGCTCAGGAATGACAGGGTGAGAGACAGGGGCTGAGGCATTGCAGTCCAATTGAAACTATGAAGTAAATACATTTCCTACCCAGTCTGAGGCTATTTTCAGTACAGGAAGCAAGCTATGGGTCTCTGCTCAGGGTACCAGAGCAGAATACGGGAGAGACTTTGTTAGGAAGTGGGAGTGGGAAAGTCAGCCTCAATCCAGGCTGGAAGCCACCAGCATTGTTTCCACAGTGGGAAGAATTTAGCCTGGAGTGTAGAAGAAGAGAGGTGACTACTCAGTTTGACTCAGAACTTGACCTCTAGTTGGTTTTCCTTAACCTCTTAGCTCTAAACCAGTTTGCTCATTTAGTGCATAGTTCCTCCCCTTCAAACTTACTCCTATTATTGTTTCCAGTTAATATCTGGTTTAACAGAGATGTGGCATAATGTTATAAAAATAACTCGGAGTATGGTATCAGACTAGAATCTAGTCACTTAATTAAAAGTCCCAATGCCATCACCAGGGGGGGAGGAAATCAGCAGGATTAGAATGCAGGATATCGAGCTCCAATTTTTCCATGCTTCACTGCCCCATCCGATAGTGCAGAGCCTGACTTCCTTAACTTCCCTGAGCTTCAGTTTCCTCACCTTCCTTAATAATATCTACCTTGTAGGTGGCTATAAAGATTCAATGCCCTGTGAAGCCCATAATACAGTGCCTGACCATGGTGTGTCCCTGATGTTTTTCATCATTACATACAAATATTATTTGGCTCTATGGCTGCACACTGTGGGTGCTCAAATGAATATCTCATTACACATGTTATGGACTGAATTGTGCCTGCCTCAAAATCCATATGCCTCAGAATGTGACTGTATTTGGAGATAAGGTCTTTAAAGAGGTAATTAAGTTAAAACAAAGTCCACGGGGTGGACCCTAATCCATTATGGCCTGTGTCCCTATAAGAAGAGGAAATTTGGACGTGTACAGGGGGGAGAGATCTCAGAGGAAACCAATCCTTGATCTTGACTGTCTAGCCTCCAGAACTGTGAGAAAATAAATTGCTGTTGTTGAAGCCCCCCAGCCTGTGGTACTTTATAGTGGCAGCCCTCGGCAAACTAATACAACACATACAGGCCCTATCTTTCTAAACTGGTGGCCAGAGAGCCCCCCCCCCCCC